ACCCCCCCCACCCCCCGCACCTACACCCACTGACCCCTGGCTCCCTCCCCGGCAGAGCAAGAGCTGGTACCGCGCCAAGCACCACACCAGCGGGCAGGAGGGACTGCTGGCTGCCGGCGCACTGCGCGAGCGCGAGGCCCTCTCTACTGACCCTAAGCTCAGCCTCATGCCGTGAGTTGCGGCCGGAGATGGGGTGGGGGGTTCAGAGGGTCTGGCTATGGCCCCGCCCACGCTTGGGCCCCCGCAGGTGGTTCCACGGGAAGATCTCAGGCCAGGAGGCGGTGCAGCTGCTGCAGCCCCCAGAGGATGGGCTGTTTCTGGTGCGGGAGTCCGTGCGGCATCCTGGCGACTACGTGCTGTGCGTGAGCTTCGGCCGCGACGTCATCCACTACCGCGTGCTGCACCGCGAGGGCCACCTCACCATTGACGAGGCCATCTGCTTCTGCAACCTCATGGATATGGTGGAGGTGCGCCCCGGACTCCAGAGCCCCTTGCTCCCCGTTGTCAGGGAGGGCTCCAGGCCCCGCCCCACCCCAGCAGCTGGACGTGGGGGCCAGAGCCACATGCTCCCTAATGCAGAGAAGACGCTGGTCCCCACGGACCACTAACCCCATAGGACTGGGGTGGCGCCTCAGGAGCCTCCAGGAACCTCCAAGTTAACACCAATCTGGAGGCCCCCCCATCCTCCCTTTCTCCCCCTAGTTACATCCTTTCCCGTTCCCATGGAAACCAGCCCAACACATCCTGTGGGAACCAAACCCCTCCCCTCCTCATCAGCTCCTGCCCAGATCATCCAGAGCTGCCCGCCCCCCACAGGAAGGGGACAGGATGCAGGGGTTTCCCACACCCCGAGTCAGAGTCGCAACCACCTCTGTCCCTCCTTGCCCTGCAGCATTACAGCAAGGACAAGGGGGCCATCTGCACGAAACTCGTGAAACCCAAGAGGAAGCAGGGGGCCAAATCAGCGGAGGAGGAGCTGGCCAAGGGTAGGGGTCTGCGCCCTCCCCACCCACATTCTGTCCGCCTGGGGAGGCAGGGCCCTGGGGACCTGGCACCTGGCCAGCGCCACAGCACCTGAGCATGGCACTGTGCCTGGCACTGCGAGTGGAAGACCTGGGCTGCCCCTGGGTCGGGCGGGGGCTCCCACAGACTCACATCATCCCCAGATTTACCTGTTTCCCACACCTGCTGTCATCTGCCCTGTCATCTCAGCCAGAAACCTGGCCCAAAACGTCGACCCCCCCACCCTCCCACGGCCCCTTCACGGCCAGGTTCTAACACCAGTGAAATTCATCCCCTCCCTGCCTGGCCTCAGATCGTCCCATCAGCCCACCTCCTTCCGGGGGACAGTCTCCTGACCCCTACCCCTGGGCCCCCAGAGGCAGCTTTCTACCATGACAGCTCACCCACGTCGCTCCCCCGCTTAAAGGAGGGAGGCCTGGCAGCGCCCCTGCCCTCCACGGCATCCCCTTGTGGCTAAAGACAAGCCGCTCCTCTCTCTGTGCCTCAGTTTACCCCTCTCTGAAAGGGGGTTTCCTGCTAATCTGCAGGGCCCCCTCATTTCCTCATCAGCCTCTGTACTGTTGTGCATTCTGTTCCTTTCCCCTGAAATGCTTTTCCAGACTCAAGGCCCAAAGCAAATGCCCCCAGCCACAGCCACCCTGCAGCCTTTTGAACCTGATGACCATGGCTGTCTCCTTGGGAGCATGCGTCTCTCCCAGGGACATCTGGACGTCTTGGGGATGCCCACCCCCCCCATGTGGAGGCTGGTGTCACCATGCCTGATCATACCTGAGGGCTCCTGATTTGGACAGAGGGGAGGCCCACAGAACCTGCTAGAAGAGAGAGGGCTAGCCTGCTTGAGACAGGGGTCAGGGAGGCCAGAGCTCAGATTATGCCTTAGCGCACTAGAAGGTTTTGAAGCTTTTCTGGGCTCCGTGTCTGTTGTATTTTTCGCTCCGTGTGTGTCCCTGGGTGGCCAGAGGTAATGGACTGTGCAGGGAAGAGGCCTCGGGGAATTTGGGGGGACACAGTCTCCAGGTAGAAGAGAGACGGGCGGCCCCAAGGGGGAGGCCGTATTGCCTTGGACCACGTGGTCCCAGGAGAGGGGTGCATCAGACGTGCCCATGGGCCATCGCTGGGAACGACGGCCACCGAATGTGTGCCCACAACCGGGTGTCTCTCACCAGGTGGTGCCCCGATGGGAGGGGCTGGGGGAGCCCGGTACCCCCCTGACCAGGTGTTCGTTCCACAGCCGGCTGGTTACTGGACTTGCAACATCTGACGGTGGGAGCGCAGATTGGAGAGGGGGAGTTTGGAGGTGAGTGGGTGTGTGCGCTGGGGGTGTGCAGGCTTTGGAGTCAGAGGGATGACTGCTCCTCCATACTGAAGACCTACTCGCTGGGTGGCTAAAGACAACGGTCCTCGCTCTATGCCTCAGTTTACCTCTCTGTGAAAGGGGCTTGGCAGCAGCCGCGGTGGGCGTGGATTAACTCAGGCGGTGACCCGGTGAGCGTGAGCGCGCCCCTCGCACCTGCAGGCTCTCGCACATGCTGGTCCCTCCGCTTGGGGTGCTCTGCCCACTTTCTCCGTAAAGGCCTGGCGTGCTAATATTTTCGACTTTGTGGGCCAGACGGCTCTGTCGCATGTGCTCTGCCCTGCCATTAGCAGGAAAGCAGCCTCAGAAGACAGGGAACCAATGGGCGTGGCCGTGTGCCAATAAAACTTTATTGATGCGCACTGAATTTTGAATTTTATGTTCCTTTCACATGTTGCGAAATAGCATTCTTTTGTTTCTTTTTCCAACCGCTTAAGAATTTTGAGCTCATGGGCCTTACAAAAAATCAGCGACAGGATTCAGCGCGAGGGCCACAGTTTACACACCCCTGGTTTAGAGGATTCTCTGGTCGGGAGCCTGGAGCTCGTGGGGGCGAGGGTTTCCCAGGCCTGGGGACCAAGGCTGTGTTGGCCTACATGGGGGTCGATGTGAGTGGGTATGTCCCTGTGTCTGTCCCCAACTCTGTCGGGTGCCGTTCTCCGTCCTGCCCCCAGCGGTCCTGCAGGGCGAATACCTGGGCCAGAAGGTGGCCGTGAAGAACATCAAGTGCGACGTGACGGCCCAGGCCTTCCTGGACGAGACTGCGGTCATGACGTGAGTCCCGGTGGGGGTCAGGCGCCCTGGGGTCGGGGTTCGGGCCTGCCCTCATCCCACGACCCCCTCATCGCCCCCCAGAAAGATGCAGCACAAGAACCTGGTGCGCCTGCTGGGCGTGATCCTGCACCAAGGGCTCTACATCGTCATGGAGCACGTGAGCAAGGTGCGGCGATGCCCCTGTGCGGGGGAGTTGGGGCGCAGCTGGGAAGCCTTGAACCCCAGCCCGTGTCCTACCCACAGGGCAACCTGGTGAACTTCCTGCGGACTCGAGGCCGGGCCCTCGTGAACACGCCCCAGCTCCTGCAGTTTTCCCTGTGAGTGGGGGCGGCAGCAGGGGGGTGAGGGTGGGGAAGGGACTTTCCAAGGTCAAGGGGAAACCGAGGCACAGAGCAGGGAGGAGCCTGGCCTTGGGAGTCTGCGGCCTGGGCACTAGCGCCCGCGTGCCCCCGTCCCTCCCCAGGCACGTGGCCGAGGGCATGGAGTACCTGGAGAGCAAGAAGCTAGTGCACCGCGACCTCGCCGCCCGCAACATCCTCATTTCTGAGGACCTGGTGGCCAAGGTCAGCGACTTCGGCCTGGCCAAAGCTGAGCGAAAGGGGCTGGACTCCAGCCGGCTGCCCGTCAAGTGGACGGCACCTGAGGCTCTCAAACACGGGGTGAGCGACCCTCCGGCTCCAGGTCCCTTGGGACCCCAGCTCTGCTCTGTGACCCTGGGCACATGTCTTGGCCTCTCTGAGCCTCCCCAATGAGCACTTGACCCATGTAGCCTCTCCTGTGTGTGACCCCATCTGGGCCCGTTTCCCCATTTCGGGGTTCATTGCTGAGGGCAAGAATAAGCGACCTCCTTCCTGCACTGAGTCCGAGCTCCTCTTGGTCGGGTGTGGGGGCGCCTAGGGAGTGGAAGACACTAGAGAGTGGAGGTCAATCCGGGGAGATTTCCCGGAGGAAGCAGGGGCTGGAGCAGAAACCCCTAGGGGTCGGTCCTTCCTCACCCTGGTCTTGGGGCCCACAGAAATTCTCCAGTAAGTCTGACGTCTGGAGTTTCGGGGTGCTACTGTGGGAAGTCTTCTCGTACGGCCGAGCTCCATACCCCAAGATGGTGAGCGTGGTCCGGGGGTGGGGAGGCACTGGGTGCGTGCGGGCCGGGGGCCGTGGCCATGACCCCCAGCCCTCACCGGTGTGCCCTCTGCCTGCAGTCGCTGAAGGAGGTGACAGAGGCCGTGGAAAAGGGTTACCGCATGGAGCCCCCCGAGGGCTGCCCGGGCCCCGTCCACACGCTCATGGGCAGCTGCTGGGAGGCGGAGCCCGCCCGCAGGCCTCCCTTTCGGAAACTGGCTGAGAAGCTGGCGCGTGAGCTACGCAGCACGGGCACCGCCGGCTCCGTGGAGGGGCAGGACGCTGATGGCTCTGCCCTGCCCCGTGGCCAGGAGCCCTGACCCTGCCTTGCGGGGCCGCGGGCCCCGGGGGACCCAGAAAGCAGGGGGGTCAGGGTGGGGGCGTGAGCGTGGGCCAGGCCTGAGGAGGGTCAGGGCTGGCAAGCTGCCCACTGGGCTCGGGACACAGAGCGGGCCCACGTGGGGGCTCCGGCCAGCCCCTGGACACCATGGACCGGGGAGGACTGGTGCCTCGATAAAGACATTCCAAGGACTGTGGGCGTCTGAGTCTCTCTCCGCGACCCCCAGCTTCCTCTCAGCCCAGGGGGTCCACACCAGGTGCCCCGTCACTCAGCCTGGAGCTGTCTGCCAGTCGTCTGCCCACTGAGGGGTCTGCACAGCTGGGACCGCTGGCAGCCACAGTAGGGATACGGACCCCTGGGATGGAGCCAGGAGACTCTCCAAGTGGGGATCACAACCATCCCGTGGATCCAGTTGCCATGGCCCCCAGGTCCCCACTGTGGGCCATTTGTGGATGCCGTATTCAACCTTCGAAGTCCCAGCCGGGTGTGGGTACGGGGCTCTCTGGGTCCCGGGCTCAAAGGATCATGGGAGATGTGCCCCTTGGAGCAGGTGTGTGGGAGCCCAGGGAGGGTCTGCCACATGCTTGTTGCTACTGGGCCTGGGGATGCTCCGGTGAGGCCACCCGTATCCTCCAGCTGTCACGGCCCAGCAGCCTGACCCAGTGACTCCAGGGAGAGTCAAGAAAAGCCTGCCGAGAAGCCCGTCCCGAGTCCCCGCCCCTCCCGTCCTCTGGGGTGAGGGGGCTGCACTCCAGCTCACTCCCCAGGTTTGAGTCCCGACTTGCCCTCCATGCGTGGCTGTCCCAGGGAAACTGGGGCTAGTGGCCCCGCCTTCGCATCTCTCCGGCGAGGAGGTGCGGACCCTGCACGCGCACGCAGTCAGTCCTCAGTCGTTGCTGTGACTGTCAGCCACCCCATTGTTCCCACCCAGGCAGCCTGTAGGATGCCCGGAGGGGGTCTCCCGTCCGGGCTGGGTGACGTCCCACCCCAGGATCCCCCAAGCAGAGGATGGGACACCAGGCCCCAGCACACCCTCCCCACCTCAGCCAACCCACCCCTGCCTGAGCAGAGCCTGAGCTAGGAAATACTCCAAGGTCATGCTGACCTTCTGAGATGCCCCCTGAAGCCCAGCCCACTTCCTGGCCTCAGTTTCCCCAGCAGCACCTGAAGGGGTTTAGTAATTCTTCCTGGGGGAGGGAAGTGAAGGATGGGAGGCTGGAGGGGCGGAGTGTGGACTGGTCCGCGCCTAATCCCCCCCTGGAGGGGCCCCGCCTGTCCCAGGCCCCACCTACCGCCCTCACCCACTCGGCGCGGCCCGCCCCTAATCCGGTCCTCTAAGCTGACACAGCGTCTGCACCTTCAGTCACATCCCGCTAAATCGCCAAAGCCCCCTGCACGGATGCCCAATCCCTGCTGCAGCCTCTTAACCCATCCGGCCAATTAGCTAATTGGGGCCTGAGAACAGAGCAGCTCGTTAGCGTTTTAAAGTGATGAAGCAATTAGGGGAATTATCTGCCCGCCCCGCAGGCCTGGCCTGCCCTAGCCATAGAGCCCAGAGCCTGCCTTACGGATGGGGCAGCTGAGGCTGGAGGGGCCCCCGAAAGCACTAGCTGCCCCTCTGGCCTGAGCTCAGGGTGTCTGGGGCTACCCCCTGCCTCCCGCCTCAGCCCTGCTTCTGGGACAGTGGGAGCGCAGCTGGCTCCTCCTCTAAGGCCACTTGCCCCTGCAGTTGGGCCCAGCCCCTGCAGGGCCTGGTCGTCCCTTTTCAGGGTGTACATGCGCCTTACTCTGTCACTGTCCCCACGTGTACCTCTCCCTGCAAAGCCAACATCCGGAAGCCTATGTCTCTACTTCCTCTCCTGCCGAGGGCCTGGGTCTCCCACTCCGTCCAGCAGCAGGTTTTCAGGCCTCATGTTGGCCCCTCGCCCCCAGCCCCTCCTCTCCGTGTTCAGGGTACCTTGGATTGGGGATGCGGTAGCAGACCAGTCTGAGGGGGTTCCCCTGGATCTTGCTCCAGTTCTCGGGCCACTGTCTCTGTGACAATTCCATCATCTCCCTGTTCCCAAAACAGGGACCTGGATATCGCCCTCTCTTCCTCCTTCCTCCCCAAACTTTCTCCCCCGGAAGTGCTCTCCCGTCCCCACAGCCCTTGCTCTCGCCTCCAGCCCCCTCCTGACCTCCCGTCGTGCCCACGATAGATACTGTCCAAGACACCATCTGGGGCCCTTCCCTGCCGCACAGCCTCCCATGGCTCCCCAGTGCTCTCCCCTTCACGCTGGCCTTGTCCAGAATTCTCAGTGTTGCTCTGCACCCCCATCGTGATCACGTTCCTTAAAAGCGTGACCTGCCCCCCTTGCCCCTCCCCTCCCCCACCTGAGGTTTCTCACTGGGCCTCCAACCATTGATAAGCTACATTTTATTTACACAATGGCTGTTGTCTGTCTCCCCAACTAGGATGTCAGCTCCAAGATACCTGTCTGTTTTGTTCACGGGTATACAGTAAGTGCTCAATGAATGTTTATTTAGTAAACGAAGAGTGCGCTTCTATTCGTACCTCAAAACCCAGCTAGAATGCCCCCCATGCCATGCCCTGTTCAGTATCCAGAGGTGCCCACTAACACTGCCTTCACCTGTCGGGAGCTCTGCTTCCCCAACTCCGTTGACACCCCTGTGTCGTAGAGGGCCCTTTTCTGGCCCTGCTGATGAAAATAACAGCAGACGCTCACTGAGCACGGTCAGTGCCCGGTGCTCTCTCCTTTCCTCACCGCACTGCGTCCCTGCGAGTGACAGCCACCTGGGGTAGGCCCTGGGGTCACCATTTTAGAGCCAGGAAAACAGGCCCAGAGACAGGGAGGCTCTTGTTGGTGTCCTACTGCAAGAGGAGGTGGACCCAGGAGGACAGTGTCCCTCCAACCCCCAGCCCCCGGCCCTCCCTCTGCGGCTCAGGGCAGCCAGTGGCAGACAGGACAGGAGGGCCCGTCTCAATTAATACCTTGTGCTAATCCTCCCCCACCCAACCCCACCCCCTTGGGGCCCGCTGGGCCAGGCCAGCAGCACACAAGGCGCTGGGCCCTCTGGGGCAGGAGCCCCGTGGACACCTGGGCTGATAAGGGACCACTGAGGGCAGTGAGCACTGGGCAGGTGGGCAAGGTGGGCATGGGGGTGGGAGCGGGGGGTGCAGAGTCCCAGCCTGCCTTCTCGGGGGCCCTAGACACGGAGGAAGACAGAATGACAGAGGTGTAAGGAGAGGCAGTGAGAGTGAACCCGAGGAAAGGGAATAGAAGGGGGGACAGAGACAAAGAGACACACGCAGAAAGAGAATCAGAGAGGGAAGCGGAGAGAGACCGCGACTGAGGTAATCCGAGGTCGCAGAGAGAGACCGGGGGAGGCAGAATGATCGCAGGACCCCAGGGAGGGAAAAGCCCCTCCACGTCCTACCCCTGAGCCAGCAGGTGCTGGGGCTCCCCTGCCTGCCCGGCCAGCCGCAGTCCCTCCTGCTGTCCCGCCAGGTGGCGGCGAGGAGGAGCCATGTTCCTGAGCCCTGGTGAGGGGCCGGTGGCTGAGGGCGTGGGGCCAGCCCCCTGCGAGGAGGCCCCCAAGAAGAAGCACCGGAGGAACCGCACCACCTTCTCCACGTACCAGCTGCATCAGCTGGAGCGGGCGTTCGAGGCCTCCCACTACCCAGACATCTACAGTCGCGAGGAGCTGGCGGCCAAGGTGCACCTGCCGGAGGTGCGCGTGCAGGTGAGCGCACCCCACGACACGACGACCCAGGGAGGGGGCCTCCGCTGTGTGGGCGGACCTCCCAGAGGAGGGCACGTGGGACTGGGGCTGTGACATCTGAACGGAGACAGGGCGTTTTCCGGGGCATCCGGGCGGCGCGTGCAGGACATGCAGGGGTCAAGTTAGGGGTGTTTCCCCTGAGCTCGGAGCGCGTGGGTGGAGGGGAGGCAGACCAGGCTGGGAAAGCACGCGCGAAGGGTCTCGAGTGCTGAGCCGAGCGGCTCAGACTTCACAATCGAGGGCCAGGGGAGACGAGGGGTGAGGCCAAGGGGCCTGAGGGACCTGGGCAAAGAGAGTGGTGAGGAAGGGTTAGATCCAGAAAGGACTGGGGGGTGCTGCTAGGATGGGGGCCATGAGGGGCCATCTGTCAAGACCGCCTTGGGAGGAATGACAGACCTGTGTGA